TGAGCAGGGTTGGCTATCCATTCTTGTGGCATGAGAGATGCGGAATATGACTTCGGGATAACCTAAATACCTGCGTATGACACAAATGATGAGCCTGGAACATCCTATGCAGAAACAACTTCTCAAGGCACATACCTGAGGAATCATCTGCTCCAAGTCAGATGGCAACTCCACATCTGCTGTCTCCATTGCTTGCCCGCTGTGAGGCTGCTCAAGGATAGAGCCTTTTGAGCAACCTCCTGTGTCTGAGCCGCTTCTGGAAGCCGTAGCTTGATGGTCTGCACCGGAAACAACATTCGATTGGGCATCTTCTTTCTCCCAAGGCTCGCATGATGCATTCGGTTGATCATCCGCATCCAAACCACCTGTACAACCTGCTGAAGAGGAGACATACTCAGATTCAGAGGCGGAGGAGGAGGCTTCCCCCAAATCAGAGTGAACGGATTGTTTGAACAATTTGGCCGCCCTTGTGGACCGTGTTGGTTGTTTTCGTTTGCAAGTAACTGGGTTGGGTTGTACGGCGGACTCGTCAGACGTGGTGGTCTTGTCAGAAGCAGGGGATTTCTGAGCCTTGGCCTTCCCCTTGGTGATTGACTTCTTCCCCCGGTTTGAGGCAGCCCTCTTCTGGGCTTGGGCCTGGTTCACTTGGGCCTCCACTACTTCAGCATGGATAGGATCCCTGTTGGCTGCACGCATGTACCCGCGTTTCCTCTTCTTCTTAGGGACCTTGCGAGTGTTCTGGACAATCGGGGTGTGACCTAGGGGGACCACATGAGTGTTTGACCTCACCTGTCGCAACTTGGCCATCAGACCGGGAAGATCTGATTCCTTCTCTTTGGCCAGAATCTCCTCCTTCAAGGCTGCATAATCGTCGTGAAAGTTGTAAGGTGGCTCCGCATTCTGGCCCGACAAGTATCTCAGTGACCAGAAAATTATTTTCAAAACAACATATCAAGAACACTCACCGGGTTATCAGGGTCATAATACAATTTCCACTGATCATGTATATCAACAGTCTCGACTAACCCCCGCTCCTCCAAGATATCCGCCAACATGTGCCAGCAAGGGATCCCCATTGAAGCAAAGAGTGTTCCAGAGCACTCGTCAAAGTCCACCCCGCCTGCCACTGCGTGCTTGTTCTTATTGTACAGATCCATCTGAATCTCCAGCATGGCAATCGCATGTATGGAGACCTTGGTGTTCAGTGGACGCAAAGCCTCTGGAATCCCAGATTTGCCCTTTTGCTTCTCGTTCCCATCCGATGCCTTGATGCTCCAAAGCTGCCGGTCGACCGCAACTGAAATGGCTTCAAAGACATTGGCCAAATCCTTCTTGTGAGAAGTGATGAAAGACTTCAACCAAGCATGGGCAGACTCCCCTCGCGAGGTTGTATGATTGCCCAAATGTGTTGTTTTCCTGATCCAAGGAGTAATGAAGTTCTGCCGCTCTGGGATGATGTTTTTAATAAGATAATCCAGAACATTTGGGCGACCTGCTAGATATACCTGGAGCTCGGCCCACAAAGAATCGTATGCGTCCTCGTCCTTTGAATAAACCACAGCATGCCACTTCGCCTTGAACACATCATATTCCGCCTGATTTGCTGCAAAAGCTGGGTAACAGGCGGCCCGGATGTTCTGATCAATGTGCCACACACACACATTGTTCTGTGCCTCAGGGAAATGTTGGGCAATGGCATTCCGCAAAGCCTTCTCCCGGTCGGTAACAAACACCTTAGGAGTCCGTTCAGGGGCCCACACAGACCTGAGACAGGAGACCAGTCATTAGTTTTATCACACAGTGAGTTTAATATCCACAGCTGCTCACCTAAGGTTATTCAACACCCATGAATACGCCACCTCTGACTCATTTTGCATGAAACAAAATCCAATGGAGAACGTCTTGTTGGTTGCGGCCTGCCCAACAACATGCAACAGAGGGTATCTGTTCACATTTGTTTTATACGTACAATCCATGAGGACGACATGATGGAACCGTCTTGCCAGCTTCAAAGACCACGGATGTGCAAACCACAAATACAGAAGATTTCCGTCCTTGTTGTAAGCCTCCTCGTGTAACCAGTTGCAGTTCTTGAGGCACCGAATCAAGTACATCAAAACCAATTCGCCTTTCCGCTTGGCTCGTTGATGTGCAGCTGTTGCATTGTAAATGGTACAATTGGTGACAAACCTCTCAGCCTTATCCGAGACCATTACAGCTACAGCTTGCGGCTTCATGCCCAAGGAGGCCATCCTAACTGCCTCATCCGCCAGGGCCGGATCCATCTGTTGGTGTAGGACTTGGTATTTGACATCCATGGGGCCATGATTATGATGCAGATGATCTTTGATTCGTATTTCCCATGGGAACTTTTGGCGGCCCTCAGCAGTTGGTTTGTGCCCAGAAACCCTGAACGGACACCCAATACGTCTGTTTCAAGACATGTGTTGTCGATCGGACTGAGGCTTCTTTGAGTCCTCCCCAGATAAGGAACAACTTAAGTAGACATTTCTGTTTTGACCGGAGTTCCCCGTTCGGAGTTTGTAGCCATGGGTCACTGCCCATCTCTGCACAAAGCGCCTCAGATCTTTGAGTTCGTGGAACTTGGTAGAGGGGGTCGATCCATTGGATCTACAAGTTTTCAACAGATTAACCAGTTGAACCAAATATAAAAAATGCCTGCTGACTACTTACTCCCCACAGTAAAATCAAAATTATCCACGTCAGCTGATGTCAATATCCCATCAGAAGCAATTCCAACATCATTCTCCAATCTAACAGCTGAGGATGAGGCCTCCATAGGCGGATCACTTATAGATTTGCCTGCTGACAACCAGGCCAAGATCCAAACATCAGTCCAAACAATTCACAAAGAAGCACTTGACCAAGAAAAGAGGACCAACCCTTGACAACCATCAAATTCTCACCAGCCATGTCAAGATCCGGCAAGCCTGTCAATGTCAAATCAACGAGGGGAATATCCGGCCGTCCAGGAGAAGCAGTCCCAGGATCTAAATGGTTGGTCGTGATGCCCACAGTGACACGTTGTTCAGGGTGAGCAGCAAAATCAGGAGCTTGCATATTTGATGACAAGCAGTTATCCAAAGCCAAAGTTCCCGCTGGGGCCGACAGCAAAGCATCCACAGGGGCTAGTGGGAGGGGGCTGATGTCCTCCGGAATGGGTGGGACAAAGATTGATCGAACCTCCTGGAAATTAGCCGTTGGGTCGCCCAAGTCCCAACATGCATTTTCCCAATCACCCGCTGGGTCCACAAGGTTGCGCTGGTCAGAGTTAGACCTCTCGTATGCAGCCGGGTGTTGTGAGTTAGATCTTTTCAATGCTGCCGGGTCTTGAGTTTTGATCTCGCCTGGGCCATGTGGTCTTTCGAGCTGTACAGGTCTTGGACCAAATTGAACAGGATGATCACTTGGTTCCTGGCGGGACTCGTAAGTTCTGTTGGATTGGAACCCCACATTGATTGGTTCATGAGGGGTGTCAGCCTACGTGATGCCAAGATATAAAATCTTCTAGCTACACGTGGTGCAAAAGCAAGCAAAAGCTTAAAGGTTTTTGGTTTTACTTTTAAAGGAATAAATTCCAATAAAAAGAAAGGAATTTATGGGAGTTTTTAGGAAAAAGTGGCCAATTTATATTAATAAAATTAATATAAATTAAACCTGAGGGGCCTGATAAATCAGGGGTGGTTAGATCCCTCAAAGGTATTGTGCAAAAAGCAGAGGATTTAGGTACCTGGTACACTGGGGCCTGTAAACAGGGGTGGTTTAAATCCCAGTAAGAAATAATGGGGAAAATCTCAAGAAAAGGGTTATTACTCACTAGTAATAATCCTGTAGGGTCTTGAGGATCTTCAGAGTAGAAACTGGGCAGTTGGAAGCGCTCAAAAAGGTGGATTTTGGGTGCTGGGTGATCACTGGGGAGTTTCTTGAGGGTTCTTGAGGCTTAATAATAGCAATTTATAGTAGTAACTAGGCTAATTACAAGTGTAGGAGACTTGTAAATGGTAAGTAAATTTCTATAAGGTATTGTAAAGCTGGGGGATCATTATTTGAGCGGTCAGAAGGCCCTTTAAATACCTGTGGAAGGCCTCAGGGGTTGCTCAGGGGAGCCTAGTAGGTCTTGGGAGCGCTTTTGGGCCCATTTTAGCCCACATGGTGACGCAACAAGGGCTGAAACCTTGGGGATAATATTCTAGAAGCTCCAAGGGGTCATGTATGAATTTATTTGAACCAAGAATATCCTTTAGAAGCCTGTGGGTAGGGGTTAGTCTGTTACGTGGAGCTATTTCCTTGGAAATGGGCCACAGAATATGCCAGAACTGGTTTCTGGGGCTTGTTACACGTGCTACAAGCTGGAAGATGGAATATACAGAGTTACTGTAGTATATTCATGAATATTCTAGCTTTTTTATATTTTCATTACACGTGTGGGGGCTTTGTTGACACGTGCACAGTGAGTTTCTGGGGCTTTGTGGCCCATTTCCTTGGATACTGGTAAACCAGAGGGGGTTATGCATGTATCCAAGGCGGGTAGGCATACCTAGCACGCGCGGGGGCTTAAGCCTTGGGCTCAATTGTAGTCAGGCGCGTCTGTCAACAGTGCGCAGCATGACTGCGCAGCGCGCGGGCTTGGAGACAGTACACGCCACGCTGGTCTATCTTCCAAACTATACACAACACTCCAAATCTGAGACAAGATTTGGAGTATATGCATATTGTTATGTATAATGCATAATTATTCAGGTGCCTGTGATCCATGGGTACCTGTTAATTCTTTAAGTGATTATTACAGGATGAAGGGGTTACAATTAGGGGTACCTTTGGCTGAGGTACCCTAGGTTAAATTGTACGTAGATTCAGAATTTGTAATAATAATTAAAGTTTTCTCTATTCCTTCTAAGTTATTTATATATTTTAAGTGTTTTTATGTTGTTTACATTTTCTTTTACTTATGTAATATTTTTACTTTATTCTTAGATTTTTTATGTAATTTTATTTTTATTTTGCTTATGACAGGTTGTCTCTGCCATAGTAGCAAGCTGACAAGGGGCGTAAGCAATCTGGGACGGATCCGACGTAACAGCGCGACCTGGGTGGGAACCATAATTGACGGCGGGGTTCTGTGAATTTGTCTCAAGCGGCCAATAATTTGGATGAGCGTTGTGAGCGAAAGAGATTGGAGCGTGCTGGGGAGGGTACATATGGAAGGAGGGATGGTGATAGTACTGGGGGACTGGTGGGTGCATGGGGGCCAAGTAGGGGTGATGAGGATGAATGGTGTATGCGGGGGCTGAGGGATGGAAGGGTGTTGCTGCGGTGCCGTAATTAATTGCCGCCGGGTAGCCCGTATGTGGTGGGCCTGAGTAGACCATTGGTTGATGACTTGAATAGTCCATCAACTGCTCCCTGGGGTTGTTGGAAAACATAGCACCAGGATGATCACGGCCAGCTGGGATCTGTCGCGGATGAGCCGAAGAGGGGTCTATTTGCCCAGAGCCATGGGGCACTTGAGTGCCGGATTGGACTTGCGTGACGGAGAGGTCATGACCTCTGGAGCGATCTGTGCTGTGCGGGTTGTGCCCAGAGTAGGCAGCATGGTGGATGCCTGAGGCCAAGTGGGTCGGTTGGCTAGCTCGGATGGATCCAGCGGGGAGGTTCATCGGGTGGCCAGAGTTGTTACCGCCACTTGATGAAGAGGTATTGTGATTCATTTCTCAATGCAGCTAAACCGAAATGCAAACATAAAAGTATCAATCACAACCATCTTGTCAGCTGTATTTTGTTATAGAGCTGGAATTCCAGCCATGATGACATACACAGCCAAATGGGATGAAATCTGGGAATTGATAATCACACTCCACCCCCCTTTGCACACACACTCCAACACTGCCTTCTCTGAAGGGAGTGTGGGACCGCACTCCAATTGAAATTGGAGTGCGGGTCCACACTCCAACGATCTGCAGGGGCAGTCCCCCAGCAGGTTGGAGTTGCACACCAATGTATAAGCAAGGCGGGCTTGCTTACCTCGCTTGCAGGCTGGCATGCAGCCTTGCACCCCAACCTGCAAACCTAATCCCATAGGAATATGGGTTTAGGTTGCGCCATATCCCATAGGACCCAGGGATGGGTCCTATGTAGAAAACTACCCAGGCTTTGAACCTTGAACAGACATCCGTTCAAGGTTTGAAGCCTGAAGGCCATCATCCAAGGTTTGAATCTTGGCCGATGGCCTTGAAGATCCCTGTAGGACCCAGGCCTGGGTCCTACAGAGGTTATACGTTTGTTTGTTTCTCAAGTCTTGGTGTTGGGGATCCAGTGGAGCCTCGCAACCCGTGTCCAGTCCTGAGCTTGGATCAGTCTGTCTGAGCTCAGGACTGAAGTTTGCCTCCACCAACCACCAACTCACAAGTCTATTGGCCAGCAATCAACCCAAACCCACCCAACCGGGCCACCCCAAGCCCT